ATGATGTCACCCTTCCTGCCATCTGCTACTCAGCAGCAGCTTCGCTGGCCCCAGCCCTCTCCCCCACCAAACACACACACTGGATCATGTGAGGGTGAGCCACTCAGCTGGCGCCCCCCCTCCAGGGACCAAGAAATAGTGGTGATGGGGGGGGGGGGAAGCATGTATTTAACACACACTGGACTGATATTGTTCAAAGTGCCAGGGATGGTGCTGCATCGGTTGCCGGGGGGGGGGGGGGGGGGGGGGGGAGGAGGGGAGAAAGAGAGAGAAACCCACCAGCAGCCTGTAACTTGAAATAGACAAGGAGGGGGACTGGGTTGAACAGAGATCCAGAGGGAGCACACACTGTGCATTACCTGAACTAGCCACCAAAGGGAGCTGCTGTTCCACCAAGGCCCAGTGGCTGGTGTAATTCTGTGGCTGCAGACAACAGGGGAGAACAAGCCAACCCGACCCTGTCCAAACCCAGCTGTGGGTCATAGCTCAAGCCTCTCTGGACAACCTACCCGCTGGGAATTCAAACTGGGGTTTCCAAACCTCCCTCAGCACCGGAGGGTTCAGATCTAGGGGCTGAGTTTGATCCATTAGAGAAGACCCGGAATTCAGAGCTGAACTTTGGGTTCAGAGCTTCGACCGCTGTTAGTCAACAACCCCATCCCACTCATCGGCCCAGACCAGCCGTTACATTCCAACGCCAGCTTCCTCGGACAGATTCCCGGCCACTCCACCGTGCAGTCAGCTTTCATGGACCATTAACCCAGCAGGCTGGACCACTGGCTCATACATAAGACTGGAAGGGACCTTCTGGGTCATGAGTCCAATCCCCGGCTATCACAGGCAACCCTGTCTTATAATCCTGATCATAAATGTATCAGGCTCAATCTCAACACTAGTTGGGCTGTCATAAACCACTACAGGAATGGTGAGCAGGGTTACTACATACGCAGACGGGCAACAGTTTCTTCACTGGAAGTGAAGGTGGGTTGTTTGTCCTCCTTTGTGCTTGCTCTGTTCACGCTGAGTGAGATGGGGAAGGGAGTAATGGCTAGATTTTCACAAGTGCTCAGCAGCTCCTATTGTTCTCAATGAGAGCTGCCTTAGGAGAACTGGCCTTAAGTGCATAATGCTCCTTTGTAGGGAATTAGAGCTGGTAAGAGAGGTTGTTTTTTTTGTTTGTTTTTTTTTTTTAAAAAGAGTATGTATGTTTCCTGTTCTAGTTTTATGCTTCTAATTTGCAGCCACATTCAATTTCTGCTGCCCGTTCTGCCCATCCATGCCCGCAGCCAGTCCCCATGCCTTCCTTGCAACCCCAAGATCCTGATCCAAGTCCCATTCCCTCCCTCAAAAACCTCCTCTTAAAAGGTCCCCTGCTATCCCATCCCTTCCCCTTTCCCAAGCACCTGACAAGTGCTCTAGCCTCAACTGGCAACAGCCCCCAGCCCCTCCCATCATCCCAACAGCTTTGATGGGGAGGAACAAAGAGGGGCACTGGCAGCTCCTCCCCTCAGCCCTGCTCTGGGGGACTCAGGAATCTTCATCTTAGCCCTAAAGGAGCAATCATCTCCTCTTCTGCCCCTCTGGAAGCAGACACAGAAGCTCCTTCTTTCCCCAAGGGGCCAGTTATTAATAACCACAAATCCCATAAGGCCCCACTCCTCTTGCGGTGCAATACACCACCAGGTGAAATATTCAGCACTCCCCATCTCTCAAACTGAGCAACAAAACTGAGACGCCCAATAAAAACGACAGTGAGCGGCTCACAAATGTAAGGTTTTTTGAAGGGTGGGGGGGGGAGGGAAGAATTTTAGATTTAGGGTCTAAAACATGCTCTTAAAGGGACATCAGCGGGCTATAAAGCCCAGTCCTGCTCCTATTGAAATTGATGGCAAACATCACTTTGACTGAAACTACTGGGAGCAAAGTGCATTCTTGACTTATCAGTTACTGCAGTCGGGCTGCTTTCATCAGCCCAAAGTACACTTCCTTAGGAGTGGTGCAGTTCAGAGGCCTGATCACAGGACTTGGAATCAGGAAACCCACAGCCACATCTGCCGCTGGTGCACAAATAGCGCCAACAGAGCTTTACACCGGATTTATACCAGCGGAGGATCTGACAGGAACCCTCGGCTTCCTGGGGCAAGAGGCTTAACTCCCCAAGGGTGCCTTGAGGATTAACTCCAGTGCTCTGGAGGTATAGCATGCTAGAGGATATTAACGAATGGCTCGCTTGGAAGTACAGTGGAAGAATGTTTGTGTCTGGCCTGGGAAGCACCATGAAACATTTCAGCCTTAAAGGAGGTAAGAAGAGAAGCTAAACCAACGAGTGCTTCCTCTCCCAGCACCGGAGTGTCACTCCCAGGAGATTATAATTCTGTCTCTCGTCAATGCCTGCATTGCTATGTAATTACCCACTGGGGGTCTCCTGCACCTTCCTTTGAAGGAGCCACTGTTAGAGCTGGGATACTGAGCTAGATGGATTGGTGCGAGCTGGACAGCAATAAAGGGCCACGCATGCCTGCACCAGTCTGAAGTTTGGGTGCCATCGGTGACTTTGAAGTGTCCATTGGGGAGGTGGGGGTGGGAAGAGAGGAGCAATGGGGAGTGCTGGCCCAGCTCCCTTTGGCTACTGCTGTGGGGATTTCCTTGGCCTGGCTGCAGAGATGCTGTGCTCCTGAAGCGCTGCAGGTTTGCAGACAGAAGGTTAGGCTCTTCCCTGCCTAACAGTGGTCATCAACCCCATGCACACATGCAGGGCATCAGTGCTGCGTTGCTGCTGCTGCACGTGACCATGCCCACTGCAGAGGTAACTCCAGCCAAGGGGAAGGTGGATACACCTCTCTCTCTCTCTCTCTCTCTTTTTCTTTGCCAGTTTTTAAAAACTGCTTATTCGGCCTTATTCGCCAGCGGATTTAAGAACAGCTAAATCCGTGCAGGAGGAATGCTCTGCAATCCCCTCCAATCCCCCGGCCTGAAGCATCAGTAAAGCAGATTGGAGGCAAGGCTCCCCCACCCCACCCCGCAGTGCAAACCTCCTTGATCCAGGCAGGGTGATGTCACCGGCAGCCAATCAGGAAGCCCGTGTGCGCGCGTGCATGGGGAGGGGGTGTGAGGACGCCACAGATGGCTCCAGCTGGGCCTAGCATTTGATTAATCGCCTGAATTACCCTCACTTTGCCATAAAATGAGGGGGGGGGGAGGGAGAGAAGAGAGAGAAAGGAGAAGAATGAACAGTAAACGCAGGAGCAACTGCAGAGAGCAAGCCACAAATGGAGAGGCCTCAGGAGAGAGCTTATTGTTAAACGGCCCAGCATACACCTGGGTTAATGCAAAGCATGGAGCGGGAGCAGCCCCACAGACAGAGGGCAAGAGAACAGGGGATGAACCGGGTGGCTGAACAGTTGCTGCTGCTAGGGTATCACGTGCCCCCAGTGCGGGCAGGTTTCCAGCTGCATGTTGGTTTAAGCCAATGCCAGGGCCACCCTGCAGGAGGATGCACCCCTAGGGGGGCCTCTGGCACATTACCCCCCAAAGGAGCTGCATCAGCATGAACGCTGCCTGCCTGCCTGCCTTGGAGGTTCCAGTCCCATAAGCCCCACGCCTGGCAGAGCAAGGAGCCGGAGCCGATCCTGTGAAGCACAGACACAGCTGGCAGCAGCTGGGAGAGACCGCGGATCTCAGGAACAGGCCCTGGGCACCCCCTTTAGAAATGGGCATATTAGTACCAGGGGTAAATAGGCAACAAATGGGGCCCCAATCGGTTTGGATTTTCCCCAAGTCCCAGAATGCCTCTGTGGGTGGAAGGGGGAAGGTCAGCACCAAACCCCACCAACAGGGCCAGCATGGTAGGGACGACCTTTCTGTGGGCAGAGGTGAGGCTCACCCCTGCCCCTTAGCCCGATGGCAGGGCACACAAAAGGAGCAGAAGACTGGTATGGCGCCCCATCAGCAGCCCAGCCCCGCCGCTCACCCTGCATGCAATTAGCTCTCATTGACACGAATCCCACTTGAAAGGATTATCCTCCCCTTAGCCCCTGGACTCCCAGAGGGACGCCGCTAGCAGGTGGGTTTTGCACAGCTGCTTTTGCAGGGGCGGTTCCACCAGGCAAGGAGCTAAGAGAAACGAATGATGCTTGCACCATTCAGTGCGCGAGAAACTAGAGTTGTGTAACAAAGAGAGCTTACAAAAGGGTAAGTGCAGCAGCCAGCTGACCGGCTGCAGGGGAGCGAGGAGATGAACAGAGATCCCGTACAGCAGTGCTTCTGAGCCTATTGGCAAAGTCCACCCTGGTGGGGGTAGGACTTGCTCCTGCCAGCAGTGAAGCAGCCACCAGGGCACCAGTGCCATATTAAATCGAGTCGGACCTGAACCCACACAGCTTGGGGCGATCAGAGCCTGATCCAAACTCCGGGGCTCAGCCCAACAAGGGGGATAAGCGAAGGAAAAAGCAATGCCACTGGATAGGAGCGCTGGCGTCCCAAGGGAGGAGGATTACGGGTCCCTGAAGAGGGCTAGCAATGGAAGAGGGGAGGGAAGAGTTTTTAGTGAGGATTAAGTACTAGCTATGAAAGGGCTGTGGGGGCTGGTTTGCCAATGCAATGCCCTTTGCCCAAGGCTGACACACCTGTTAGTCTCTCTGGTGGCAGCCTCAGGCGAGGGACAGTAGAGCAACACGAAAGGGCAGCCTCCTTTAACGGCTCAACCCCCCTCCTTGCCACATTAATAGGCAACACCTCTGTGGGCCGTGGACACAGCCAGTGGGGGGAGGGAGCGGGGGGGGGGAAAAAGAGGACTGCTCAGCCTCTGTGAGATGGCAGGGCCAGAGGGCAGTGGCTGGGTTCCCCTCAAAGGGAATGGAATGAGCAGCAGAAGAGCGAGCCAGAAGCCGGCACTTCCATCCTGTTGCTCCATACGACAGTCATGTGCCCTCTCAGGCCAGGTCCCTATCTACTAGGTGGGGGGCCCTAGTGGAAAGGCAGGCAAGGGCCGGATTAAGTACCTTCATCTTGGAGACTGGCTGGATGAGCTCCATGATGCAGACTTTGTCCTGCTGAAGCCGCCTCTTGACCAGCTTGGAGCAGCAGATGTTGACAGAGCTGAGGACGTGCCAGGAGTTATACTCCACGAAGGAGCGGCTGTCAATGACCAAGGTGCCCTCGGCCCCGTTCCTCAGGAGGCTGGCCAGCTTCTTAGCATCCATCACTTTGCGTGGGAGTCTGTCCCCGGCCATAACGGGCCCGTCCCCTCCGCAGTGACTGGGAGGAAGGGAGGGAAGGCCAGGGGCAGGGAAGCCAGCACAGATCTCCCAGAGGAAAGAGGGAATGGGATACAGCGCGAGCAGGGCAGCACCTGTCCTGATCTTGCCACGCCGCTAAAGCCCAGGATGCCAAGTCATCGTGCTGAACCTGTTGAGGAGAGGGGAAACCCAGAGTCAGGTGTTATGACAGCACGGGCAGCCCTGGGAATTCACCTGGAAACAAGTTTCCAAGAGCCAAATCCTATCTCAGCCACATGGGCCAACGGCTGAGTCCAATGGGGTTATTCTTGATTTACACCAGGGTAGCCACGGAGAGAACCTGGCGTGGATGGTGGCACTTTCTACATGGAATGTCAAGGTACATTCACCTGTCAGATCAGCCAGCTGGGCAGAAAGGTGAAAATGGAGACTGCAGAATGGAGCCAAGAGTGCTGGTCTTCTAGGTCTCTGCAATACCTGCTGCACTCCCTCGCTACCTGAGTGTCTCTCTCCACAGGGCCCGTTCCCTCTCACAGCCTGCCCTATCACCACACAACAGCTTCTCCCCTCACAAACACACAGAACTTCCGCCTCAATCCCTCTCTCCCTCCCCTCCCCCCTTCGTCCCCCCCAGGCCCCAGAAACCCAGTTGAGGGTACGGAAGGAGGCAGCTAAAAGGAGCAGGATTCAGCATATTGGGAGGGCAGTTTCGTTAAACACTGTAACCAGAATCTTTCCGCTCTCCCGATCACCGCTAGCCCGGCGGTGGTCCCGCCTGACTCTGCCCGGGCCAGCTCACTGAAGCACATTGTCAGAGGCAGGGCCCGTGTGAAGGGCAGCAGCCGTGGGGCCCTGACCACCGTGAGATTAACAAAGAAGTTAGAGGGACGTAGACCAGTAAAGCCCAGCTCATGACCCCCTCATCCCCACCCTGTAGCTGGCTGCAAGGGGGTGCTGGGTTCACAGCAAGTGCTCTCCCTTCCTCCAAGGAAATGAAGTTATTCAGCCCAGCAGCCTAGCTCTCATCAGGAGCACCCCTGCAGTGACCAGCCAGCATAAGCTGAAGGCCAGCACACAGCATGAGCAGCTTTTGCATTACCTAAGCCCTGGGGCCCCAGGGTTGGAAGAAGCAGCAGCCCAGCAAAACTTTAACACAAAGTTAACTGGGGAGATCAAGGGGGTTTGAACCCAGCACTTGTGCCAGAGTGATTAGCTATTCTGGGTGCCTTAAAAGGGGTCTTCTTTTCTGAGGGTGGGCACTCAACACCTGCTGAAAAATGGGGCCCTTTCAGGTGTCTAAACTCTGTGCACCCACAAATCACTAGCAGCTTCTGAAAATATTGGACTCTGAACATTATTCCTGGCTCTGATGCTCTGTGTAACCTTGGGCAGGTCACTTAGCTGCTCTGTGCTTCAGTTTCCCCATTTGCGAAATGGGAATACTACTTCACTCTCCCCCAGGGGTGTCTTGGAGAGGGGCTCATTAGTGTTAGTGACGTGCTCAGAGATCCTCCATGGAAGCTTCCGTAGAACTGCTAAGTGCTCTACAAAGCCCAGAACTCAGCATCTGGGAGCATTCTGCTCACATCTGCAGGATGTCTGCCTGGCAGGCACAGGGGAAAGGTTCAGGCCTCTTCAGTTTTAATGCCCCGCATCACTGTAGGACACAAGAAGAGCCATTCAGAAATAGGAACCAGGTTATTACAGTGCAGACCACATTGTATAGAAAACCCACAGGCCGTACCAGGGCAGCCCAATGTGTCTGAGCTGAGAAAAGTGAACACCACTTCTAGAGGGGCCAGTTCAGGGCAATGTCAGGCCCACTGACTTTCTTGGAGCCAGGATTTGTCGCAGAGACAGTAACGGGCATCTCAATCACCCAAAGGATGCCGGTTGTTCTCAGCCGTTTCCATATTCTGATCCCCCTCCCCACTGGAAATCCATAGAACATCAGACTATTCACATTTTTCCACACATAGCATTACTCCTATAGAAGAGCCTTTCAAATGACAACTGGTACGTGAGTCCAGACACACAAAGAGAAGCATGTAGACTTCCAATCTAAGTCCCAGCAGTGAAATGGTTAACTCTGCCGTCATTTTAATGGTAATAACCAGCTTTGATGTCAACTCCCACTCAAAGCCAAAAGGAGGGGGAAAAAAATCACTCTTCCGCTGCTGCTGCTATTTCAGTCTTTATTGTTTATTTGTATCATGTTAGCTGCAGCATCTGGTGGTCCCAAGCGAGAACAGGGCCCCATCATGCGAGGCACTGTACTAAAAACATATGGTGAGAGAGCATCTCTGCCCCAAGGAGCTTTCCATCTCAGTAGACAGGACAAAGGCTCAATACCACATCCATTTATATGGTGAAGGCCCTTCCTCAGCCAGGGGGAGCGAGAGAGAAATCCAGCTCTTTAAAAGGTAAGTGACTCTAGAGAACACAGTGAACATCCAGAAGGACATAAATCCTTGGAATATGGGGTTTTTTCCAGCATCTGAAGGCTTCTGTTAACCCTGCTGATGAGCAACCCTACAATAATAAACCCCCTCTTCTGGGCACAGAAAGATCCACACCCCAAAGCACTAGAATCTATACCCCCCAAACCTCCAGTGCCAAGATTCATGCTCCCAGTCTCGGGACACAATAGAAACGATACACCAAAAAAAACCACCCACTACCACCCACCCACTACCACCCATCGCCATATTAAATTTAGCTTAAAACCCACCAGGAAATGATGATTATGGCCCCCTTACAGCACAGAAAGCTTCTCACAGCTTTGTGCTATCGTCCCCTGTACCACTGTGCGCTGGTATCGCTTTATATCTCAGCACAAGGATTCCAATCAGAGCTCAGCTACCCCTTCCCGTGGTCAGCTCACAATCCCTCCCCACCAGGGCTATTCAAACACTCGTATTTTTTTCTTCTAGGGCAGGTTTCAAAAATTGAAACAGTTCTAATTAAGAGGCCTGGGGTAGGGGGAGGAGGGAAGGCTGGCTCCTGCTGTGATATGACACACCTCATTATGCAGTAACAGCCTCGCTGGAGACCCCCCGCTGCACTTGGGCTATAGAGCATGGGCAATCAGAAAGGATGCAAATTAGCCAGCTTTTGCTAGGTTTCTCTCCCTCTCTCTGTTCCTGTCCCCTCTCCCTTCTCCATCAGGGAATGCAAGCTGCCAATTCCCCTCCTGATTCCTCAAACGCCAGCCAGAAAAAATAGGAATTGGAAGAGAGAGGCAGACAAAGAGGTGGAGATAAGGTTCAGACGGAGGGATAAGTATGAAACACTGGAGTGGGATGGAAGGGTGATCCAACAGAGACGGGAAAGGGGGAGAAGGCTAGCTTATTATCCCGGGAGATAATAGGATCCATTCCCCTCACTCTCCAGACTGAACAAGGGGTGGCTTTGGGGTTTTCAAACACAATCAGAGGGGCCTGGGGAAGATAACAGCCCCTTTATCTCCTAATTGCTCCAAGAAAAGCCTGTTTGGAAGAGGTTGTGCGTGGTCAGTTCTGACAGGCGAGCAAGCGTTTAGATGGACAAAGCCAGAGACGGTGGGGAACATGACGCAGGGAAAGGCAGCCAGGCCCAACCTATAACCCCCACTGCCCCAGAGAGGACTCTGGTGTACACAGCGACGTATTAATGCGTAGGCCAACAAGGCCTACGCCTAGGGCAGCAAATTTGCTCTTGCCCCCTCCCCAGCTCCGCCCCTTCTCCAAATCCCCGGCCCACCTCCTCCCCCAGGCGCGCCACACTTCCCTCCTTCTACCTCCCTCCCAGGCTTGCCGCGCTGGGAGGGAGGGAGAAGCGAGTTGCAGCGCAGAGGTGAGCTAGGGCCCATGGGCGCGGGGAGTAACGGGGGGCCGGGAACCGCTCCCCGGCCCGCCCCAGCTCACCTCTGCTCCACCACCGCCGCCATCCCCCGAGCGCACCGCAACTCCCTTTCTCCCCCCTCCCTCCCAGGCTTGCCGCGCGAAAGCACTGGGAGGGAGGGAGGGAGGGAGAAGCGAGTAGTGGCACGTTCGGGGGATAGCGGAGGTGAGCTGGGGCCGGCGGGCACAGAGAGTAACTCTTGGTGGGGGGGGGGGGCAGGGAACCACTCCCTGCCCCAGCTCACCCCTGCTCCACTGCGGCCATCCCCCGAGCGCGCCACAACTCCCCTTCTCCCCCCTCCCTCCCTGGCTTGTCGCAGGGGAGCGGAGGTGAGCTGGCGGGGGGGGGGGGGGAGGGCAATTTTTTGACGGCCTAGGGGCGGCAAATTTGTTAATCCGCCCCTGGGTGTACACAGGTGTGTGCTCTCCCCACACTCCAGCTCTTCCAAAACGAAGGCTGCAAGGACAGCCCAGCAGCTCAGTCCAGACAATCCACCATCCCTTGACACCTAGAGAGTTGTTTATTCTAGTGCACTCCCATCCCAGCCAGCATCATGGGTGCCAGAGCGGTCTATTGGATAAGGTAGCACTACACTGGGCCATGGGACTCAGGAGAGCTGGGTTCTTTTCAGGGCTCCACCTCTGACCTGCTGTGCGACCTGGGGCCAAAAGACCTGGAGGATTGGGCCAAAAGAAACCTGATGAGGTTCAACAAGGACAAGTGCAGAGTCCTGCACTTAGGACGGAAGAATCCTATGCACTGCTACAGACTAGGGACCGAATGGCTAGGTAGCAGTTCTGCAGAAAAGGACCTAGGGGTCACAGTGGACGAGAAGCTGGATATGAGTCAACAGTGTGCTCTTGTTGCCAAGAAGGCTAATGGCATTTTGGGCTGTATAAGTAGGGGCATTGCCAGCAGATCGAGGGACGTGATCATTCCCCTTTATGCGACATTGGTGAGGCCTCATCTGGAGTACTGTGTCCAGTTTTGGGCCCCACACTACAAGAAGGATGTGGAAATATTGGAAAGAGTCCAGTGGAGGGCAACAAAAATGATTAGGGGTCTGGAGCACATGACTTATGAGGAGAGGCTGAGGGAACTGGGATTGTTTAGTCTCCAGAAGAGAAGAATGAGGGGGGATTTGATAGCTGCTTTCAACTACCTGAGGGGGGGTTCCAAAGGGGATAGAGCTCAGCTGTTCTCAGTGGTGGCAGATGACAGAACAAGGAGCAATGGTCTCAAGTTGCAGTGGGGAAGGTCTAGGTTGGATATTAGGAAACACTATTT